ACGGAGTTGACACAATAACATAAATATGTGACTAACCCCTTATTCATAAAAACTATAAGCTTCTACAAGTCTATTTAACTATTACACTGTTTTGTCACTTTTTTTTTAATTGGGAATTCAACTCAAAAGGAGGATACAAAACGGTTCAATAATTAAAATATGATAATGAGAGGTTTGCCGTTTTTATGAATAAAGGGGTATTACTATCAATTTATAATTCTAGCCCGACAACAGATATAAAATATTTATAGTCAAATATTAAAAAACATATTACTACATTAAAAAGTTAAATGCCACTTTCTTATTTGTTCTATATTAGCATTACATAAATTTGTATACGATATATACGTATCATTGTATATAACATATTTGTGAAAGGACGAAAATTGTGCAATTTTTGTATATTATTTAATTGCACTTGAGGCAATTATAATTTGTCGAAAATCTGATCGAGGCTAATAAAATATAATTACACTTTTGGACAGTTTTAAGTACATATAATACCGGCCAAGAACATGCCATACACATTTCATATTTTCGACTTGACTGCATACAACTTAATGACACGATCATATTTGTTTTGTAGTTTTTATTTATAATATAATTACTATGTTATGTGAGTATAGGTAATAACTATAAAATAATATATACGTTATAATACAAAAATGTTTGTAATTTGTCAACTTATGTTTTTTGGGAAAAATGTTCAGTTTAACTGGTAGAATATAGGGAGTAAAAATGAGGGTATTATTTCAATTTTAGCTTATATATAATGTGTAGGGTTACATATTGTATACGAGTATAACGTATAAGTACGGCTTGTTGGGATTTTTTGGTATTGTGGGATGTTTGGATAATTAAGGAACCCGTCCTCTATTGGAAGCGGACGACGGGTTACTTCAAAGTATGTGAGAATTGGGAATAAATTCTAAATCGATATATGATGATGATAAATAACGTGGCACATATCGTACGATTTACATTTTCCAGTAAAACTTCATAGATTCAAAATAGCAACAAGCTGTTTATATACAGAGAGATTTACATTATAAATTTTTCGTTTTCGACAGTCGTTTACGGAATCCTGTCTTCAAAAATATGAATTGTTTCCTATTAGTGGCATTATTGTAATATCCATCGAAGTAATGTAATAAGCTTTACGACTACATATTGGAGAAGGTAGTAATTCAGACTTCAGAAAACATTAAACTCTGAAATAGAGTTGTAAACAGAGGGCTGGGGCAGGAACCGCTCCAAATTGTCACATTTATGGGCCACGCTGGAAAGGAATCTGGGTCAGGATGTGTTCTTTACGAGTATGTAACCAATTAACACAATAACAATGATTGATTGTGACAAGTATCTTATAAACAATATGCTTATTTACTTCTTAACAAGAACATTTTTCATTGCATAAAATAGGAGACTTCGTGAACTCATACTACTATGAACGGTCAGTTATTTCGCAGGTACCTTGCATTAAAAATATTTAAATTTAGAACACACAATACCCTGTTCCTACCTCCACCCCTAATAGGAGGAGGCCTATATTCAGCAATGGACAATTAACGGCTAATATAGATGGATGGATGGAATACCATGGACATCACAAAATACCCTATGTATTCCTCGAGTGCTGACGCCTCCATACAATAGAGAAAAAGAATATTTAAACTGTTTAGACTTCCTTCCTTAGTTGTCAGATGTATAGAATAGATGCATCATGATGCCCTTCGAAGTACGGATAAATGTTTTTACATACTCATAGAAATATATTACGCTTGTCTCAGATTGAGGTAAACAGAAACAATAGATCGCCAAATGTTCCGATTGAAATTTTTCCTCTCCCTCCACATTCATCATCATTTATACACAACTCGCCGGTTAAGAGTACTTTTATTTTGGTCTTTTTCAGTGCTGTCACCTATTTGGTTGACGTACATCCATCTAGGGCAGTTGTTACTGACATCTTTACTCATTGGTATGGAGTGAAGTTCCGATCCCGTTGCGATAGTTTTTTAGATACGTTATTTCAATGGAGTGCTTTGACTTGAGAATAAAACAAAATGGCTATTTCACCTGTACATTTCTTCCGATAATAAATCAAGTCAGTTTAACGGAATTTGTCTTAGAAAATATGGTAAAAAAGGCATTTAAAATAATAGTAATATAGAAAAAATCAAACTATAGCTTTATAACGCTTAACTAAAGGGCTTATTTATCAAATCAAAGAACAAATTCCAAGTACGTTTCGTAATGGATTTAAGGGCCAAATCAAGGTACAGGTATGTTGCTCGATCGCGTGTCAGGAATGGCATGCAAATTTGGTGGTAGTAGGTGCCTATAATGAAAAGGCTTGTAGACAAGGCCATGGCAAGTCGGTCAACGGGTCAGAGTACGAATCGCGAGGACGCACCCAGAATCAACCGGCGCGCCCATCGGGAGGATACATTACGCTGCTTTCCTGCAATGCGACGACGCGTGGGTAGTACCACATCCTAATCTTACCCAAATTTACTAAGCAACAAGCTAAGAAATTAATTCGATGTTTTACTTTATAAAAATTAACTGACTACTTTTTGCTTCGCATGGTCCTCCTCCAAAACTATTTCGTAAACTAAGTATACGTCGAAATTAGATATATTTGATTCTGTTATTATACTAAGTACATATATGTGTATTTGTTCGCATTACCGAGATAAAATCCTTCTCCATGCTAAGTACGATGTATGCCTAAACTATTGGTTAGCCGTTAGCCGCCAAAAGATATTTAACAAAGATGTGGTTTCATATTTACATTTATAAAGATTTTTTATTGTATTTAAACAGAAAATTCTATGTATGAAATGCACGTAGTAATGAAAGAATTATAAAAATCAAATGGATACTAAAAACATTTTTCTACCTGTCTACTACAACTAAATATTCTAAATTCTAAAAGATTTTAATCTTGTTTTAGTGCAATAAAAGCTATTATTGTAGCTTAAGTATACCAGTTAGGTACCAATATAGTCACGTATACTTTACTGTAGAACTAACATTTCAAGGTCAACATAATGTCCATTTCCACCTGTAATGTTGGGCAACATATGTGAAAAACAATCTAAACGCGACGTTATTTTAACTTCTTCGATAAAACCACACTATTATAAATGACTATCGTATATTTCAAGTTGGAGCAAATAATACATATTTATAAAATTTCATTAAAATCAGTCGAGCGGTTTCGGAAATTAGCATGAACGAACATCGTAATATGTCATTTTTATCTATTAAGAAAATTCAAAGAGCTAGAAGAGAAGCTAATATAAATTGTTAAATTAAATATACATAAACCTTCAATGTTTTTAGACTATAAATACTAATCAATCTCTTTTTTTTTTAGCTGTATTTTTATTTTTATATACCCCACAACCACTACAATATCTATTAGTAAAATCTTTATCAAAATCTTATGTTAAAGTGTGTACTTAAGCTATACAATTTAACAAACAGGAAACATAATAGGGTCTTTGCTTTATAACTCTAGTTATGTGTTAGTAGATAACTTTTTTTTATAAGTGATTTGATCGACATGCCATGACGTAAGTTTTATTTCGGCGACGTTAATTCAAAAGTGCTAGAAATAAAATACATAATATCATTACAGTGTCGAGAGATCGCATCGTGACCCACAAGCGGCACCGCCACACGCCGGCCGGCTACGCTAATTGCGTCATATGAATCATCGCAAAAATAACGCTAAATATCATCGATTTTTAATAACAGGTGTTGCATTTTAAAGCATGGGCATTCAAATTAAAAATATTAAACTAGAAGTATAAAATATAGATGTATAAAGTAAAGAAAATATTAAACTGATTTATACATCATAATTGTTATAAGATTTTTGAGTTATTGTAGAATGACTTTTCTAATTTTTTATTCTAAATGACAACATTACTTGATAATACACATAATAATTATGTGTTCATCAATTAATACAGAATGTACTATTACAGTAGTATTTTTCTATATTGACACAATAAGTAAACAATGTGGAATGTTTTTTTATATATAGATTTTTTATATTTAATATATGTGTGTATATAAAAACAAATAGCTAAATAGAAAAGTTATTTGTATTAACTGATAGTTATAGGTCTAGGTATAGGTAATCGTTAAAAAAAATCAAGTTTTTTTATAAGGCAAAATAAATAAACAAATAATAGGCACATGAGTCAGATTTAGAAAAAAATTATCATACCATACCTACTTGTAAAGGGACTCACCTAAAATTAGGATGATTGGCAAGAGCTCCATTGACAAAAGGTGTAGCTCCTCAATAATGAATGGGTGAAATTTGTTTACTAATTGTGTCAAGTGTAGAAAAGTAGCTTATAGGTATAACATTCATACTAAAAAGAATATTAAAAAGAATACATATTCAAGAAGGAATATAAAAATTAATGTAATAATTAGCTTACAAACTAATTTAGGCTTCTTAGTCATTATTTTCAATATAATTTATAGACAACAATATTATTAACAAGTAAATAGTATAGCTGAATATCAGAAATGTATAAACTATCTAATAAATTAAGCTTTGTTAAAAATTTTTTTCTACATTAAATAATATACTTATTAGTATTTTAACAAAACTTAATTTATTGGATAATTTATACATTTCTGATTGTTAAAATTAACTATAAATTTAATTGTGACATAGAGATAATATTATAACCATAAGAAATAATAATAATAAGTGAAAGATGTTTTACAACATTCAGGTGACATTCCGTAACAAAATTTTATAAGAGACACAACACATAACAATATTAATCTTAACACATTATGAATTTATTCCAAATGCAATGAAACCATGAAATGAAAAGAAATTTATCCTAAAAAATCTTGAAATAATAGAAAAATAAAATATAAGGGTAATCACTGACCAATTCAATAAAGAACAGTAAGAATGGAAATTAAAATTATAGATATGATAAAAAAATCATGCTTACTGAGAAGAAGTCCTGCTGGCAGCACAAGCCTCACCATCAAGATTGTAAAGTAGTATTTAGCCATGGCTTTATCTGCAAAATAAAGTGAAAAAAGAAAGGATAAAAAATATTTGTAATAGATAAACCTACAAAAGTTAAGATATATATATGAGGCGTTTTAAGTTAAAATATTGTAGCAAACAACAATATATTTTTAATGTTTCTCTTATAGGTTCAGTGGGTACTCTAATTCTAAAAATGTAAATAATGTAATTATAATCATAATCATGAGGTATATTGGTACCTGTTGGTTGTTTAAAAATATAAATGACGACTATAATAACTTATAAATATTGCGTGCTAACTCCATTTAAATTATTTAATATCAATGCGATAAAGTAAGAAAACCTAAGTAAGAAGTAGTTAAATTTAAATATAAATTTATTTTTATAATTACAGATTTTTTTATATTACTATAGCGATTACTATAACCACTTGAAATAGTGCGGGTCAAATTCAATATTTCAAATTTCGTGTCACACGTACCTTAATGTACAGCTAAACTAAAATCACTTCATTTACACAAAATCACTTCTAACCTATAGAAATAATTTGAGTGTTTTTGATTTAAAATGTCAGCATGTCTAAGAATCATTTTAAGACATGAATACCTAAATTATTTTGAAAAACAAAAACACAAGCAACATCTTCCACACCCGAAATGACACTTGTTTGACCAAAAACTAAATTCAAATTAGATAGAGTAACCATGGTATCTACAGAGTAAAACTTAACAAATATCTGGCAGTTGACTGACAAGTATTTCAGACAACTTAAATTAAGGATACTACTTGTGAAACAGGCAAAATCTAAGTCTTACATGTATTTTCGTTTGTGGAATCTTCCTTTTATACAGCAAGATGTCTAGTAATAGATAATTAACCACTTTGGATAGGTATCGGCCTTCTTATTTCCAGTTACAGCAAATATTTCTTGAACACTTCCAAACGATTGTAAAAATAATTTAAAATACACGAATTGTCGTATATTACAATATTAATTTAAATGCTAACAATAATAATTAGCTATATATAGGTAGTTTATTTCTTTTTCCTTCGAACATTTTTAAATATATATTATTGATATTGCAACACCAACCCAATTTTATTTTTATTGCGAATTAATGGCGTAGCCAGGTGAGTTTTCTTGTTTATTTTTTATTTCATTTCGTTCCATGGTTTTCAATTGTTTTTTCTAAATGTTTTTCATCGAGCAAAATATTTAATGTACTAAACGTCAAAATTTTTTCAACTAATTCGTTTTTATTTCCCTGAAAACATATATTACGAGTAATGAACGCGTATTGGATTTGTTCCGAATTTATTCGCTAGTATCATTGTCATCACTTTCACTTTTACACGATTTGCTTTAATAGTGGTTTTAGTGTGCATACTCTGCATCGAGGTGCAGTTGCCATGGATGAGTGAGTTTCCCGACAATTTTCTTTGTTTTTGGATGTTTCATCGTGAATATTCATGACGAGGTTACTCATCAAAAAATGTGTCTATCGCTGTTCTCTATAATGTATCTAGGATTTAGCAATAACTTGTACTTAGAAATTGATTTGATTTCTACATTCACATCTTCAGCACCATGTCGACCCTAACGAAAATGACCCGCACGGTAAAAAAACTGGAGGTGCCCAGACCCCTAAAATCAACGACCAGCTCTGCACACAACCGTAACTCTGTACTAGACGTCAAAATCAACTCTGGTAAGGTTTCAATTTGGACTAAACAAATATTAATGTTAGTGACCCCAATTTACTGTTTATATTTTGCATGCCAATGTGATAATTATTAGCATTTTTTAAACATCCTACCTAGTGGTTGCAATGGGTGAAGGTAGTATGTAAGGAAAAGCAAGAAATTATACATGAAAACTTATAATATTCCTGTTACAAAACTGTATTAATGGAATTGTTAATAATTGTCATAATTATAAAAATCTACATCAAAGTTTTTAAATTACTTAGGTAATCATAATTATTACTATTTTCATACATAACAGTTATGATTGCATTTAGTTTTTACCGTTTTTATTTTCATTATTTCAGCTGATGACCTAATAGTGTTGACTGAAGCTGTCGCATATCAAATGATGCAGGGCAATTATGACCGTGCGCTTCAAAGTAATGTGGCCACCATGTACTCTAATTTAAAACTCTATGGCGCCCAGCTCGAGTCCCTTTATAAAGACTTTCTTGATAGGTTTGTTATATTTTCTAAATCTATATATTATATTGAAACCTATTCTCTTATTCTCATTGGAATTTAATAAAAATCTATTTTAAGTGCATGCTTACACTATATGAGGAACCTTTGCAAAATTTTTAATTATAAGTACAGGTGAAAGTGGTGGTATAAAATATACTTGTTTTCACACATACTAATGACACACATAATAATGTAATACACATATGATTATCTTTCAATCAAAGCAGCAGTATGCCATATCAAAGCAGTAGTTCTATGATCCTAATAGATAGTTGATAAAAGAAGGTCAAAGGTTATAATTTATGACTGCAGTCAAAGACTTCCATTTTAAAAAATATTAAAACTATCTCTGCAAATATTGTATTATACAAAAATATATTTGTGTAATAGTTTTCACAGTGCATCAGTAAAATGGGATGCTTCACAGCAATGAAGTATGTTTGGTAAATGTTGAGCTAATTTACTTATAGGTTAAATCAGTGCATATTATCATCTGATATTTATCTTTCAGATATTTTGTTGTATTCCGCAATGGCTCTCAGGATGAGCGTTTAGATAAAAAGACACGTCTTCACCTCCTAGAACTAATTGAGCTGCGTGCTAAACTTTGGCAAGGTTCTGATTATATGAGTCAGTATTACAGGCACCGTGGCACGCATGCTGAGGTATTATTTTATTAGCACAGTCATATCTCTATAAAGTGTTATTATAATTTATAAAGGAAGTTCTAATAATGCACTATTTAAAAATCACCAATAATTTTTGATCATATACAGTATTCTCTAAAATTTCACTCTTTTAAATGTCGATCTTTTGTTTCTATGTAGTTTTTGTATGTAGTATTTTAACAGTAATTGTGATTTACAGCCACTATTGGTGCCCACAATGGAGGGGTCGGGCACGGGCGGCTCGGTGTCCCCCACGCTGGCTGCGCCTCCCGAGCCGCCCACACTTCTTGGCCCTGGTGAAGTCATCAAACCATCTGGCAAGTTCCCCAAACCAACTAAGATTCCCGGCAAGAATTATTCCAAAGATGAAGTAGTCATCAGGAATGCTGATTCTGGAAAAGGTAAACACTTCTATAAATTAAAATTTTATTGCTTTTTTATATGGGTATATTGCATGTCTTTTAATAATGAAATATTAGTATGTTGGGAGACAATGCATGAACAAAAATTATGTACCTTATCTGTTTCTTATCTTTATAGTAAAGTTATGTTTAAGAAGTGCATGTTGATAAGGGGAGATAACTGTATATTAGTATGTCTGTTAATATGCATATAAATATAAAAATATATATTTTATGCTTTTAGTTCAATAAGTATTCATATGAATATCATTAATTCTGTTTAGTAATAAACAGTGTTATGAGCATGGTAAAGTCATATATAAGAGAGAGGTAGGTAATGAGCTCCGCGGCGGCGAGTCTCAAGTTATATTGTGGTGTTACAGTGATGGGTATCAAGGGCAGGAGGGTGCACATGATCGAGGAGCTAAGTGATACGATTATATCGTTTCAGCGAGGTATGAATGCACGGTGCGGGCTGAACGCGCTTGCATGGTGTGACGGTCTCTTCCCATTTCTATGCCGATCTTCTTTTATCATGTTGTTTACCAATATCATTGTTAATATTGTTACATAAACTAAATATTTAGAATAGTACCTAAAATCTCTGAACTCAGTTCAATTAATAATTTTCCTTTATTTTACTAATAAATAAAAGTCATTTTGGTAATGGTAATAATCTGAAATAAACCATCATATCACGCCTATTAATCGCATTCAGCTTTAAGCTTCATCCAATAATCACTAACTCCAGATTATTAATAAAGTTGTCGAGTCATTTATTTTAATTTCGTTTATATTTTCAGTGAGTCCCGGAGCAAAGGAGCGTCTCGTACAGATTACTGGGCCGAATGAGGAGAATGTGAAGTGAGTATTAATAATATGGGGAAGCAAAATAACAGAAGCTATTTACTGAATTTCGAATATTGCTCTCTCATTATAAAATGGTATGTGATATGAAATATAAAGTAAGAAGATAAGTATAAGAAGACACAGCTTTAACCGTTTTTCTTTTCTTTTCTATTTTAACATATATAAATCCAGTGTCAGACATTACAGAGTGAAGATTCACATGAATCATGGAAACCGCTCAACCGATTTTAATGAAATTTTGTAAGTATTGAACATAAAAGGAAAAAGAAGATAGTGCGAGTGAGAGAAAAATAGAGGTGCATAATAGAACGTGTGGTTGTGGTGTGTGCAGCCACGCGAAACATCTGATCGGCGACACGATCCGGCGCAACGCGTCCCCGGTGCGGCTGGACGGCGCGGAGGCGGGCCTGCGCGCCAGCCGCGCCTCGCTCGACTCCAACGGCTCCGACGACTCGCCGCGCGCCCGCGAGGTCAGTACCCCACCACGCACACGCACGCACACGCACCCACACGCACGTACACATAGCGCGTCCCCACTGCGGCTAGACGGCGCAGACGTAACGATGGAATGCATTGTTTGCCCCCAAACAATTTATTCCAATTTCGTCAAATACTTATTTTTATAAATATATCTGTCAAAAACGACTCGAAATTTAAATATAATAAATGTTAATCTAATTAGAGGTTTGGCTGACTACATTTTTTTAAATCAAAACAATGCAGTAATTGGTTTAAAATTTTCCTAGATCAGGTCAATTTTTTAAATATATATTTATATATAAATACACATAGGTATCTGTTACTTATAAATTAAAATGGCGGCAATTTTTAAATATTTAAAAAGTATAACATATTTTATGTCCATCAGGGGTACAGGAGTACTCCCTGAAGGACAAAATATGCCAAGCTGAACACAGCCGTATCATACTTTTCTCAAAGTGATTCACGTTACTTTTATCCCCCTGTAACTTCATTGTAGATAGGTTTGAATTTTTAATTATCTAGAAGACACTATAACGAGCTATGTTGCCAATATATGTAATATAATAATTATGTATTTTACTGTAAAATAACACCTAGTTGGGTGTTATCTTGCGTTTAGTTCATATTACAGGTTATTTTATATATTATTATTAGTATATATGTGTGACTTCGAACACTCAAAGATTGACCACCACTATTATTACCAGAAGTTCCACAACTTCCTATACTAGTTATCAATCTCTGACTGCCATTTTATTCCCACACGTTTTGCGACACATGTTTCACCTCTAAACGAGGCATTTTCAAGCAAATTATCAGATCACTCCTCGGAGCCTAATGTTAACGATTGGGCATCCAAACTTCGAAAAGATATAGATACATATAGATGTAGTCTATATGTTACCGACATTTATATATAATTTTATTAAAGTCTTGTAATTTTTCATTATCACTAGAAGTCTCCTCACAACAATTCCCGGGCGCTTCTTCATAGTTTCTCCACAAATGATGCCGCGTTGGGAGAATATAAATACACTGTGACTTTTGGGCAACATTCCATTAAGATCACGGGTAACAACTTGGATCTTGTTAAGGTATGAATTTTATTACATTCTTTTGTAGTTCGTAGGGAAGTCTGGCAATGTTTTTATTATCTGTAGAACATCAATATGTTTTTAATGAATTTAAAAAGTGCTCTATAATGAATTAAACTGTTAAATGTAGCAGGACCCTATGTTATTGAACTATTACTAACAATACATATGAGTTTTGTTTATAAAAAAAGTATTACAAACTTTGGTAAATCTATGTTAAACATGTTTTATGTTTAGAACTTCAGTTGATTTACATATTTTATACTGTGAAATTATGAAGAAGGCTATATCTTATAGTACGCGAATACCATATTTCGTAGTAATTGGGTAAGCCTTTAAGACATATCAAGTAACAAAAAAACAAACTCACTCTTACATTTATGTGTAAGGATGATATGATTCAGAACAAAATTGTGCAATTTTTCATAATCAGTTTATGATAATTGCCCTCAAGCAGCTGTCAAAACGATAATAAAACTGTCATATACTTTACTAATATTATAAATGTGAAAGTCAGTTTGTTTGATACCACTTGACACTAACAGCTCAGCTAATTGTTTTGAAATTTAGTATACATGTACTATATGGGAAGGAGAAGTACATGGGCTACTATCCATCCCAGTCAAACGATATATCCTCGTATTCCATACGGATACAATTGTCGTCGTATAAGTATGTGAACGTTGTATATGTGTGCGGGTGCGCGTGCGCAGACGGCGAAGCTGGTGCTGGACGAGTACTTCGAGAGCGCAGGCGCGCTGGAGGCGCTGGGCGCGGGTTCAGGCGACTTCTTCACGCTGTCGCAGCGGCCCGGCGCCGCGCTGCTGCTACGCGACGACGCCGCGCTCAACGGCGCCGACGATGACGTCTTCGCGCCGCTTGACCATGACGAACACGCCGACGCCGGTATGTACAACCTCACTCGTCTCTCCCGGCTACTCCGATAACACGCTCTAATAAGTAGCAGCGAAAGAGATAAATTTTAAAATAGTTTTATACCTGGCCAGCATGGTAATAGTAGTAGTCTAATATGAGCTTTACAAAGAGAGATTCCAGTAATTAAACGTGAGCAAAGTTTCGTACATTCAAACTGAATCACTTGTATAGATACATAAATTGTAACATTTTTGTAATCTTATTCTAAAATTGTTTTGCTGAATATATCTTACCGTGCACGTTTTTTGGATAAACAAAACGGCTATTAGTTTAGAACAGCAATTTAGGCATCATTTACCTATTAACAATGAGTAAAATGACAAAGCAGCTGAATTAGCATTTACATATTTTAAGGCATGTACAAATAGCTAGCCGAAGATTTTATAACGTTAATACAAAAAAATCTGGGCATGCAATTTTGCTGCTATTGAGGTGTGCAATATTTATTAGTTAATTTAACGCTCGAATTCGAAATTGGTAGCGACTGACTGAAGCATGTAAAGCTATTAGCAAATAAAATATGTAATTATTATATATGTATATATATTTTAGGATTCATTTAATGTGTCATTAGTTGTAAAGATGACCGATCAATGTGAAACGATATGTATTTATACATTTATATCATCCATATTTATATAATATTTGTCAAGTCACAACGACCACTCCGATCCACGGTCGTGGCAGCATATTTTCCAAATTTTCGTATCATGGCGCATTTCATTAATGTCGATATAACGAATCAACATCTTCATTGGCCATAAAAATTGTTTACCATAAACAGAGTTTCACTTTAACCCAAATCACCTTCTATTCAGAAGCAACAAGTTTAAATCGCAAAATATAGCAACGCAACGACACTAAAAATAGAACCGTTATGGCTCACATGACTTTTTTTTAATGGAGAAATATGAAATGGTCAGGTCGGCATTATCTATGAGCATGAAGTTACATCCACATGAGACAAATTCAAAATTTATTTATGACGTTAAGAATATAGCGGAAAGTCAATTGTATTTTGTTTCAATTCACTGTAAATATTCAAATAGTGAAAATCAAATCATTAATTGGTTTATGTTAATTGTAATTTGAAACCATTTCAATGATATGTAATGATGCATATGAAAAGACAATATCTAGACATGAGATACCGTATCAAGCCAAGATCTCGCGACGCAGACCATTTGGATAAATTAATTACTCAGAATTAGTAGATGTTATTTATCTGACCTCCTCTTCCTCTTCACGAAATTTCCCAAGTGACAAATGTGACAGGGAGCACACATAAAATATCTGTATTGGTGGCGCTTAGGCTTAATATTTAGGGGTCCTGAAACTATAGGTAAAATATTGTAACCAACGTTGCATTTAGGGTCTGTAGGCCCCTACATTCACATCTGGGTTTGGGGCCCTTTTTTACGTATAAAATCGGTTATTATATTTTAAAATTATATCAATGATGTAATACGTACATATTCTGGTACCTACTAGTGACTAGTATGGGATGCTGTTGCTTCTGTCTAGAGGGTAGTGTATGGGCCGCGTACCGTGGGTGTGCGTGTGTGTATGTGTGGTGTCTGTGAGAGCGTGTGGACGTTAACTGGCGATGTGTGCAGCGGTGTGCGCGGCCGACGGGGATGCAACACCGCGCCGGCCGCGTTTTTCTCGCGCCGCCAGCACTGACAAGCACCAAGGTAAGGTGGCCGCCAACACCACAACTGTGACTAGCAGCTTCACTGCTCTTGAGGTGCTCTTATTCGGGCTGTTTAAATTCGCGGTAGTGACGTCACGATATTTAAATTGTGACGTCACTATCACGTTAAACAATATATAGTAACGCGAAAATGTTAATTGTCCGAAATGCCTGTGTAAACGGACCAATAGGTTGCTTGCTGATTTGTGGCGTCGACAGCGATGCAATATTTAAAACAAGAAATAGTATAGACTATATAGACATAGACTATACAGACATAAGTAAAACTTCTAGACTTATATTGTATCACTGTCGTGTTAACCAATCAAGAAACCTTACAGTTACGAGTATATACATATTTATTTCGATCTCTTGTACCGTATATTTTAAAGTAACCACATATTTATGCTAATGTTTACAAGTCAATCCATATTTCATATATAGTTTTATAACGAACGAATATTGAACAATGAAATTACGCCACCATGATAACACATGAAAAGATATACAATCAACCATTTTTCATGCAAGTCGTATCTAAAATTGTTTTCACACACACACTCACATTCACATTCACATTATATATGAAGCATGAAACCCTATGTGGTTTTGTAACCCATAATACGATGGTCAAATGTCTTTGGGTTATGTGTTTTTTAACAAACATTTCTCATTATAGGTCTGTGCAGATGACGGACTGTTTTCAGTGATACTTTCCATTCGTCAAAATTGAATACTTACACCTTTAAACGCGATAATTAATGTACGTGCATTCAACATTTAGAACTATAAATAAAAATGAATATATATATATATATATATATATATATATATATATATATATATATATATATATATATATAATAATATGCAATTACACGAGAGATATAAAAGTTTTTTACATCAGCTTTGGAAGTATCTGATAGACTATCATTCATCTACGCAGATCGTAACTGTCACTATTTTCTCTTACCATAGAATCATGGGAATATACTTCATTTATGTAATATATATGGCCATGAAAAGAATTACATTCATGTGTTTTAAATGTAACGTAGCGTAAACTATCTACAATATATTTTTATTGTTTTCTAAATAAAATTAATGTTATTTCTTTTGATTCTATGTTTTATCTATTATTATTCAGTATATTTATATGATATTCATTATTGGTTAGAGGGTGCCGTTATCATACTACATTATATTTTCTAATCATTGGTCGTATTTTAACAATATGCAGATGTCAGTCAATGGAAAGTTCCTATATACCAGAGGGAGACTTTGTACAAAACTCAATTGCTTGGGTACCTCTGTCCCATTGTGTTTCAACCGTGAAGCAGTTGTGTTTGCATAGCTGTGTTTCGGTTTGAAGGGTGGGATATGGCGTAAAATTACTGGGTACAGAGGAATAACACCTGAGTCCTCAGGAATGGCAACGCATGGGGGTATCATGGGCGAAACAGTATACTCTGTTATGTCCATGGTACTGCACATGTCTATAGGCGACGGTTACCACTTTCCATTAGGTGGACCGTCGGCTTGTTTGCCATTCTAAGTTGTATGTAAAAAAAAATTTTTTTTGCTTCTGGCTGTTGTGATTTTTATGCTTAGTTCATAAATATGCCGATTTTGTAATTGGGCTTACAGTATAACGTAGTACAGCAGATACTAATAGGATCCGCGATGGAAATTGCACATAGCTTTTACTATTTTTTTTTTTAGAGCTGCACATGCCATTTTGAAGGAATATTTTGATTAATTGATGAATACGTTATAATGGCGCACTTTATCCATTAATGACCGAGAGCTTAATAACCAAATATATTTGAGGGTTCCGTATCCATTATGTTGGTCAGCTGTTAAATAATACTCGTACGTGCGCAGTCCATTCGCATCATCTTTGACGTTGATATTTAGAAAAATGAGACAGACTTATTGTTTAAATAAGGTGTTTGTTAGATTCACTATTAGAAATCTTATTAATGTAATAAATGCAAAAGTTTGTAACGATGGATGGATGAATGTTTATTACTCTTTCACACAAATATTACAGAAACGGATTTCAATGAAATTTGCTACACGGGTAGGTCTATCCTAACTTAGCACATAGGATACTTTATGTACTGATTCACGCGAGTGAAGCCGCGGGATACAGTTACTAACTAATATGTATAAAATATACAAGTAATACATAGGAATTGAGATTTACTACGGCTACGGAACCCTAAACATTGATAATAACTACATAAATTAGTGCATAATTTATGTGCTGAACTGCTTTCTTTGCACCTTGTTTTAATTTGGACGATACGCTCAATATAAAAAAAGTGAAGGTGTCTAGGCGACGATATTTAATGGTGTGTGCAGGCGGGGCGTCGGGCGCACGGCAGACGTACACGTACGAGACTCTGGTGCAGTACGCCGACTCGCCGCTAAGCAAGCTGCCGCCCGCCGGGCTCGCCGGTTTCCCGCCCGAACTGGCTCGCAAGGTAACGCTGGCCGCGCCGCGCCGCCTCGCCGCCCCGCGCCGACTCGCACCCGCGTCCTCATCCGCCCCCTGCCCCGTACACGCGCAACGCTTGCTCGCCCCCTTCCGCGTGTGGCCGCCGCTCCACCACCCCAACTATCTTGCCGCGTTGCTCTGCCGTGACTTCTATTGACCGCGCCGCCTGTCAGCTGCTCGAATCTCGCCAGACGCGCGTAGCGGCGCGGGTCGCGGTTCGCAGCTCATTAGAGCGCGGCACGCGTTCCACTGTTTCCTTCTCCTTTTCCTTCCCCAGTTCGACGCCGCCGCCCCGGAAGACGGTCGAGGCGACGCCGACGACGTTTAGAGCTCCGTCGACTGGAACCTCTCTCCCTCCCCTCTTCCGTTTCCGACTGACGATGACGACGCGGGGCGGCCCGCGACGTAATCCTAGAAGAAAAGTTTAACTTTTGTTTAAGATATTGTTTTTGTCTCGCGTCGTCACCTAATTGCTTCAACCGAGCGATCGAATACGTTCCCAAGACGATTTGCAACAAGATTTCTAGATCATTATATATAAAGTAACTATCGCCTCACCTGTAACGCTCTTAGTTAACGTATTCGCTCGTTTTGCAGAACTGCACGTGCTTTGCTTATAAATTGCAATGTTTTATACTAACCCATGGTTTTGGTGGAAAATTTCAGTGTAATTTTTGTCTCCATATTACTGACAGTCTATATGATAGGAGCTTTTTTTTTTTTACTTAATATTTGATAGTCTAAGCACAATAGTAAAATTAAAAGCAAATTAATTAATTTGCTTATAATTTTACAAACGAATGTGACTTCAAAATGTAAAATAAGATTGACATGTAACTAATAAGACTGAAGCTATAATAATGTTAAGATTCTCGGTGCCAAAGTGTTTCTAATAAATAATAAAAATCAGAGTAGTTTAATTTGAAGTAAGCTTATTTGATGACATTGTATTACTTAGCATTTAAAATTTTACAGTATTATTATTGTTCGCTTTTAAATTCTATTCTATTGATCTCATTCGGATCTATCTTCTTTTCGCCACGATCAGATATATAAATTTAAAGTGGTCATTTTTGAAAAGAAGTTTTTCATTGTTGAATTCGTGAATGTTTATTTTATGACAAATAATTTATGAAATTGATTATTGTTAAATCTTTTATGCAAGTAATTTACAGTTTTTAATGTCTATGTTTATGAAGTATTTACTATATATGACACGTTAATAATTTTAAATTTGTGATGTTTCTTTGTTCATGCTGCTCGGATAGAATGGGTATTCGAGAGGGGTTCGCTACAGGTAGAGTTATTAGAAAGTGTCTTGAATTGACACGATTACCTAAATCTCAATGTTGACTCTATCTATAGTATATAACATATATTATTTTTTTATGTCAATATGTATAAAAATTACCAGTGTTGCTTTCTTTAGCATTGTCAATTTCTGAATTTTCAAATATAATTATATAAAATAATGTGTGTTTTGCTTCCGCTAACCTACTAACTACATACTTACTATCTTATTTATATATGGCTTCGGATTTCAAGGTGAATTTTTTTATAAAAGCATACTGCTTCACTAACTTCAACATCACATAGTGTACCGTAACCACAGGTAATCAGCTCATACTATTCGTGCACAGTTCGTGATATGAAAACGTATGATTCATACATATGATATAATATCGACAGAGTTGCCTGGAGTTCGACAGCGCCAGCTACTTGAAGAAGGTGCGGGCAGCAGCCGGCACCACCGTCGCATCCGTAGATGCGCCCGATTCACCTGAGCCCGAGTAATGACAAATGCTGTCACCTTTTCGTCGCCGATAAAATTGGCACCACTTTTTTTTTATTTTATTTTCATTCCTAGGTCTAGGAACTAGCACGCAATTTCACATTTTAAAAATCACGGCAGTGAATATTAATTTGATTAGGATATCGCAGCAGCTTTAGAGTACAGCTGTGGACACCTCGTGTCTATATATTATTAATATAGCATCCCTCATTTTTCTTTATTATTGTAAAGAGAATTGTGTGATGCCCTTAGTACTTTTAAGTCACCGTCTAGTTTACAGCCGTCCGCTGTGCGTTCATGCACAAATTTTTCACTCACTAATCTTAGTGGACTTACTGTAAAAGTATTAGCACACCAAAATATTTATTTTTGTAGTACCTAGCGGCATATCTCATTTTGTGAACGAATATTATTTTGTATCAATTTAATTCCATTTATAGCTGTTGCAAGTGTATTTTGTGGGATGGTCAAAATCATACGATGAAAATTCACTATACAATTACTATACATTTTCCATCAGAAATGCCTTAATGTCCAATATGCAAATGGAACCGATGTCTGAATTTTGAAAAAAAAAATCTCGTAAAATGAGAGTTGAAGAAAATATGTGGTATTTTTTTGAATCTCTTTGTTACTGATTAGCATTTATATAATCTTGAAAGTTATACACATCGCGTTATAACACCATTTTGCTTTTCAAAGTTTTACAATTCCCACATTATTATAGGTAGATACTAAAAAGTGTTTTGCACGCAATATAACTGAATTGTAGGCATCCGATATTGTGTGATTTTGTACATTGGATATTGGATTAATTCTGAAGAGGATTTTTTGATCTCCTAAAGATTAAATTTTTCAAATCTGCAGTCAAGCAGAAATAGGTTTATTGTGTGATTAACTTAAAGACAAGTCATTGATACATCACGCTGAAAATTTACTATATCGACGGTCGCCAATATATTGTATATGGCGACGTGTAGTTAGCACAAATATTATATTATGAGCTTACAATAAGAAAACAATGGTCGATAAACTCGAACTTGACGTCTCCACTTGAAATGTTTTAAGAATACGTTTAACTTTATACGCAAGCGAATATATCGTTTCCATTTTTTTTTTTGTTTTCTTAATTTGTGTTGTATATATTGACTTTTTGACGTTCCGGATGTCAGAGTGATTCCATTTATTTTAAGAAGAATGCATGCATTTCTTTGTGTGTTTGTATACTCATTTACAGATTTTGTATCTAGTGTCTAGTCCTGACGCGTAGATGTGTCGATTCTCAATATATTGTAAGCTCAAGAGAGCCTGTCAATCAATATATAAATATTGTTTGATTATTCGTATAGCTATATAGATGAAAATGTTAATTCCTCTAATAGTAGTTCTTTCGATTGAACAGATTGTATTAGAATTTTTGTGTCTCTATATCTGTGGGCAGAAATTCGTAAAAGTAACTGTTATGAAAGCCAATTTTCTGATCTGTAAAATTGAAATTTTATATTTATATTATTATTCAAAGCTATTTATAGTGAAAAATTTTTTACGTTTATTATCACAATATATTAGTTTTGACTATATATATATTTTAATACTTCACTTTAGAATAATGAGTTTTGCTATAATATCAAATTGAATTTTAGAGATAGGGATTGGTACTTTAAAATTGACCAAAACTTTTCATATATACATGCCAATGTTGACAAACAAACAAAACCTATACAATAAGGCATCTCACAAGTCCAGTCCTGGATTTCACATAAAGGAAATGTAAGCAACTGTTATATAGATAGCGTTCGGTGACATTTTACTTTCCAAAGAGAAAATGTAACGGATTGCCCACCTGTTTGATCAAAAGAACAAATTGAAGAAAAGGAATAATCATTGTTAAAAAAAATATAGTTTTATAATTGTTATATTATTAGAGCTTTTAAATAAACACGCTGTGCACTAAACCAAAAATAAATTTTGTGAATCGTTATAATCTATTTATATAGTATACTAACAGACGTAGGTACTGTAATATTGTAGTAGTGAGGTGATTGCCAGGCTTTCTTTTATAAACTTCTAAATCGTAAAGGATTAAAATCATTTGACTATAACGAAATATAGACGTGGAAAGAAAGACTGTTCGCGGTGCGTATGTAACCTCATTTAAATAATTAGGTACCTGCAATATATGCTTCATCACTCGCTTCTCTTGTTCCTGCACTCGTTTTTTTAATTTGTACAGTTAGATATGAGTATAATATTTTTTTGCACCTTTCTAAAGTTTATCGTGTTCAAGGCCATAATTATGTTAGTTATTTCGAGTTTAATTCAGATTTCATCCTGCAATACAGCCGACGATCAGAGCAGTGAGTGATATCGCATGTAATTATGAATTGAATATCGACAGCTATACTCTTTTACTTGGTGCTTATTACTTTGGAAAAGTATTATCGTTGAATTTGTAATAAAATTTTATGTTTACATTTTTGTTTTTATGTCAAATATAAATATGATTATACATTTTGGAAAAATTGATATACTAAATTTTCTAATAGTCGGTAGTTTAATTTATCATCCTTACCAAATTTATGTATATATACATATACAGACACACATACGCGCACACACACACCCACGCATATCTAATTTCAAGAATAAAACAATTTATGTAGTTAAAATTATAATATATTTACAAAATAAATACGTAGTTACGCAATAAAGGCTATACAACGCAATTTATTCAATAAATTATTCGATTTATTTTACACTTCTTTAGTGTCTTTACACTAAAATAAGCTATAGATTTTACAGGCGTAAAGAAATGTTTCATAATAATAAATAATTATTATTTATGTATTCATTATTACAGATCAATTATTACAAATGGAATGCACAAGCACGAGACAACTTTATCAAAATGCAATATAATTAATAGACAAGTGTAACAATGAAATGGTAATTTATAATACTTTTTAATAATTTTAATTAATTCTTAATTTATTTAATATTGATTGTTTAAAAATGTTCTGCCATTATAAAATTGATCGGTATTGGAAATTACATCTGTCCGTAGCGTTGCTTTGAAAATTGTATGTAATTATTTAAAAACTCGATCGAAACTACATACTTTTTTGAGATAACGTTTTGGTAAATTTTTTCACATTATTCAAGTATTCGCAGTACATTTTTAATCACCGTATAAACAAAGCTATGTTGACCGGATTTAACAAGTTGATAGTTGAATCAAAGCAATTATTTCAATCCACGACAACGTCCCTATTAACAATAGTAATCATGGTGCCTAGTGCGTGATGTACCAAAGTTTATGATCGGACACGTTCATACGTATTTACATCCATAAGTTTGTCAATTATACAAATTGTACACATCGAACGTAATCTCTAGTTAATGCCGAAAGTAGGTAACAGTGATATGAATTTGACACCTATTTATATATAAATTCGGTTCCAACTTCGACTTCTTATAAATTTCCCATCAGTTGTAAACACTCCGTCTTACCACAAAAAAGTTGACACGCTAGACAGGTGTTCAATACAAGTTTAGACAACTTATTACAAAAGCCTATATAACATTTTTGACTGAATAACAGAAAGTTGCATTAATAAAAATTAAAAATAAATATAAACTGACTCAAGAGTTTTGTTAAACGTTGTTTTGATAAATTGTTTTAATTATGTTTTTGTAATAAGGTCTAGGTTTAACGTCCTTTACATAACGTAGCCTAACAGGACCGCGGGTACTACCTTTATAAAGCTACAGAAGCAGTATAGAATTCTAGAAACGATTAGTATTAAAAAAGGGGCGTGTCATCGTGACTTGAAGTAACGCATTTTGATTTATTATTATTATTACATAGTCTTAAAAAAAGATAACCCCTTATTCGTAAAAACCCAGTACAAGCTTATTTTAAACGTTGAACTGTTTTGTCACTTTCTTTCAAATTGGGAATGTAGCTTAAAAGAAAGAAAACAGTAGTTAAAATGTGTTTGAGACATTTGACGTTTTAATGAATAAAAGCGTGACTTTAATGTTAATATGTGTAGATGTTAAACTACACATTCATTAAATATAAAATTGTACATACAGAAAGTACATATAATTCCACTGTAAGAATGGAGTTTTTGAAATTATTCGGTAGGTGCAATATTAATAAATAAAAAAAATCAAAATGTCATAATGATAATAATAATATGATTTAAAATATTTTAATATTGAACTGATTTATTATTTATTAATGCATTATAATTTACATCACTTTCATCTTGCAATATAGACAAAATCTAGCATTCAAAGTGAATAAAAAAAATTGTTCGTTACAACAATCGTTGCGACAACTATACCTAATACATGCAAACTATTTGACCTTGAATATGTCCAGCATTTATTATGGATATGAATAAATACTGCTATGACTGACTATTCTATGAAGCTAAGCGTTTCAATGTACCTACCAATTGTATGTAACATCTTAAACTATCGAAAGCCAAAGTTTGCAACGAAAGTATTCACTTAATCTTATAAACTAATATAACGCATGTGTTAACGCAGATTATCGCAGTCAGTATAAACATACGACAAAATAAAATGTATGTCAATCGATTTAACATAGGAATGCCATAACATAATTGCTAACGGTTGCGCCATTTTCTTATTTTACTCCAATATTGTGACATGGCGGTCAGTCTCACTTCGCTTATTATCTGTAAGGGCGATATTAATTCCTTTCCGCTATCTTATCTGTAATATTCGCTGCTCGCAGCCTAGCGTGTTGCATTATGTCGGCGGAGAGATCCTCTACTGTAGTATATCGGCACTTTTGGAAGCTAAACAGATCTGTGATGAAACCAACTATTTCTGATTGAAAACTTTGGCAGACGTCGCGGAGCCGCTCCCTTGGTCCCAGAAAGCCCCACACTAGTACGGGCAGTAGATGCTCCGAAATAGAGTAGAAATGCGACATGAAGCCGTCAGGGTATTGCAAATAACGTCTTTTAGCCTTTATAACTGACCATACCGCTGTCGTTAGTGCCTGGAAAGAAATAAAAACAAATTATTATGCTTTTAGAGGGGTACGATCATCACAAAATATAGTTATACTCGTATAATAAGCAAAGGACACGGTTGAATGTTGATATCGTAAACTGTAACAAAGCCCATATAAAGATAAACTCGAAATAAAATCCTTTGCCAAGCATGGTTACATTAGTACTATTACTACAATGCAGTAAGACAATGGATTTTATTACGTTCGAGGTGATAATTGGTGTCAATTTTATTAGAATAGATGTATACATACACTCTCCTTGAATCCGTCGGAGAGCCAGCGGTTCCTAACCACCGCCAGGACGGAGGAGGGCGGCGCCGCCAGGTCCTCGAACGCGTCCAACAGGATGTAGTCTAATACCACGTCATAGAACGTGAGCACCTGATACAGTATTAAAATCATTATGATCATATATAAGCACATATTATGGCCGTTAACGTAATGGCAACTAGTATTGCTGGGTAACGACAAGTGAGCAGCATGCTTGTTTGTCTTACTTTAAAAAAAAAGGAAATGAGATTGGGGTGAGCCACTATAATTTATCTACAATATAAGGAATATTCAGCAAATAAATTACACATTTCTCTGATGTCAGATGTACTTACATACAAATTACTTATTTCACATAAAACATGGTATTTTAGTAAAATTTATACATGGTGACCTTGGTAACATTCTATCTGCTAATTTCCGCACAACAATATAACATTACAATAGGTACAAACATTCATATTGTATTAGTCCAGGAATTTGTATTATGTAGGTATATTTACAAAAATTCGTTGTTTATTGTCCATATGAATACACAGTATATGACGCTCATATACTGTGTACAATTCTAATAGGTATTGTAATTCTGTAAATTCAAATGTATTTCTATAAATTCTGTAAATACAAAATTAACAAATCCCGATTACCTTAACGCCTTTACTGAAGAGTTCCTTTTCAATAGTAGGCCAGTTAGTACCATCTGTTGTCCATGACACCATTTCTTCATATGCTACTAAAAATTCCTTTGGCTCCTGTAATTAATTTTTATAAATATAACGAAACGTGACTTTTTGGTCTGATGTTAAAATTTCAAATGAAAAATAAAAGTTTACTAAGTAATAGAATTCTATGTTTTATTCAGGTTTGGTAGTTGTGTCGAATTGAAAGCTAACAAACAACAGTAAATATATGGGTTTGGGGGAAGGGATTACCAGTCCTATTCCGAGAAATATGTTCTATCAGGTCGACCTTCACGTATCCCCTCTGGAAACCATCGTGCTGAATTTAGGTGTATTCATCACGATGAGCTAACTGACCTGCCTTTTCATCCTCACCTATCAATTCTCACTGTTGTCCCGCCAGTATATACCGTTTTTTAATAGGTGAAAATGGTATGGTAACCCCGCCCGCGCTAACGGGATACGCTGGCAGAGCACCAGTGAAGGGTGATAGATGAGAATGAAAACAGGTCAGTTAGCAGTTATCATGATGAATTTATCAGGAATTAACCATGATAGTTTCCAAAGAGAACCGCGAGGAGGTCGACCTGGTTGGGTATATTGCTAGAAATGGGGTTCTCGGTCTCCATTACTAAAAATTCCTTCCCCCCCCCAAGTATATACCGTTAGCATGAGCGGGGTTGCCATTCCATTATCATCCGTTAAAAAAAACGTACGTAAACAAAATATATTGAAGCAGGCAGTCCCGATTTTCAGTCGATGTTTTTATAAAAGAAGCTGTATCACATAAATAATAAAGTACCTTGTCAGCAAAAAGCAGTAAATCCGTAAGGACTTGTCTGCCAGCATCTACGAACCACGCCCAAACGGCCGCGTCCTTGAACACATATTGGAAGGCTAGTCTGAGGCAATATAGCTTGCATAGGAACTCGGAATCTGAACTGCATTGTACTACTTCAGTACGTAGTGTTCTGAAAAGAAGACGATTTCAATAGTTTAATGCAAAACAACGCAAAAAAATCAAGGATCGTACAATTATTCCAAAGGATTTTAAAGTTGTGTCGGAATATAAAAAAAAATGTCAATTCATATAATATTTTTTTACAACTTGAAATGGCAAACAAGCTAATGGAGAAATAATTGGTAATCGCCGCCCATAATTGCTATAATACCACTTCATATTCATATCTGTTGCCATTTCTAAGAAAGTGTTATCTATAAAACTTCGTACCCTGTCATTTTACTGTCATATCACACCCCGTAAAGATTAAAGGCCTAGATTGAAAAACTCCTAACTTCAAAGAACCTAAACCTTACCTGTAAGGTATACCAGACTCTAGTTGCTTCACTGCCATTTGATATAATTCTAAATTATCTAACTCAGGCAATATTTCCGTGAACTCATCGAAGTCTCTAAGATCGGCCACCTAAAACATAAAGCAGAGAAATTAGAAGTAAAAATTATGACTTGAAAAAAATAAACGTTTCTAAATGACATTGGACGTTTTGAAGGGTTCTTACGCTATATCAGTAATAAATTTAATATCAAACGATAATAAAATATATATACATCAGTTTCTTACTGGGTTAAATCTACCGCTATTGAATTATAAATTTTATTGACATTCATCTGTCGTTTTATCGTAATGGCGTAACAGGCAAATGCTATGTTCTAAAAATGGCGATTTGGAGTTTTATGGCTTGTATTAAGTTTCTTTAATCAATTATTACACTAAAAATTTTATAACAAGTAGTTTCATAAAGAATACTTTTTTAGGATGATAATATAAGTACCTAATGGTAACCCTGTCTATGTTACAAGTATGCGTTGGCGGGGTACCAAGAATACGTGATGATAGCCGAAGATAAAGACAGGTCAGTTAGCCCATCGTGACGAGTTCACTAGAAATTTATCACGATGATTTCCAAAAGTAACCACGTGGAGATCGACTTGACAGGGTATATTCTTAGCTATGGGTATTAACTTTTTGATAATAAGCGCTCTTTTCTCTGTCTCTCTCATAAAAATACTGGTTGTGACATGGTATAGAAGATAGGTTTAAATCACGCCCCCGTTTTGAAATCTTATAACTATATTTTAATGTAATTACAAACCAGGTGAAGGGATTGTCAGTAATGGTAATTGCTATCAGGTCGGATCAGATCAATTTCCGCGTGAACCCCTTAGAAACCATTATGATTAATTCCTAGTGAATTCGCTGCGATTAGTCAACCGATTTGACTTTACCCTTATCATTCCATCCTCCACTGGCGTCCCGCCTTGTGTACTAATAAAAAAAGACCATTATAGTTTTATTAGCATCCTTTCAAAGGTGGACTACTAGTGCAATCGAGGATTTTAATCATCGTCGTATATCCACTGCTGAATATAGGCTTTATAGGATGCAATAAGCCACGGGGTCGTTTATAAGAAACGGTAGTTATCATTGGGCGGATTTTGCCAGTAGTTGCCCCGTTTGCCAGGCGGGTTGGCAACCACAGTTGGGTTTTGGAGATGTTTTATGAGGGACGCGGCTGCCCCTCTCTCAACCATTCCCTCAGTTGCTTCTTAAGACAGACAGACATGCAGAGTGGACAAGATGCGTCTAGCAGTCATGTTTTTTTGGTCCATGTGTTTTGCTCTGTATAATTGACTGTATTACGAGTTGATATATACCTGATCTTCGGCGGATGCGAAGGACTCTGCGCTGGAGTGATGGTCGCGGCGCGTGTGCGAGGAGGCGGTGTGCGTGGACAGCAGGCGCGAGCGGCGTCCGCCCGTCGCCGGCTCACTTGCGCCTCCCGCGCCGCCGCCGCTCTCCGATCGGAACAGCACAGACCGCTGGTCCAGGAACAGCAGCTCGCACCGCTCCTAGAAAGTGAGGACATTTTGAAGTTGAACCCGATAAATATATTCCTTACCATCGAGAAGTTGACCTAAGAGTGATATGAGAAAGTAAAATGAGGTCTTACAATGTTTTCTAATTCTGAATGACTGTTGAAAAAGTTATCTAATAGTAAATTAAAACGTTGATCATAGAAAAAGTAACACAATCAATCACTGAAAATAATTATTTTTGATTTTTTTTTACTACTGAAGGATCACGCGATTGATCACGATCTCACCTGATAGAAAGCGATGGTATGATCTAAGATGGGGCTCACGGGCCTGCTAATAGCCTATTCACATTTGCCTCTAATTGATTTCGAATAGATGTTTTTATTATTAAAATCCAAGGTTCAGTAAAAAAGAATATATACGAGTATAAACAATTCCATTGTCTATCTTTACAGTACTTTTTAATAACAACAATATTGAAGTATTTATCGATACCTGTAAAAGATACGCATTCTGCAGCAAGTCTTGTATCTCGCGACAAAATTCGGCCTCCTCGGGCGAAGTGAGTGCGAGTGTGCCGGACACGCCGCCGCGGGCGCCCAGCGAGAACGCCGCCAGAGCGTCCTCCCAATAATTTATACTAGTTTCTAGTGCTTCCATGCCTGGAATAGAAATTAATAGTTTGTTTAATGGGTGGAAACTAGAATGCTAACCCCGCTTGCGCTATCGGTATACGTTGGCACTCAGGATGATATCAGGTCAGTTAGTTTATCATGATTAATTCACCAGAAACTAACCGTGATTGTTGGGGCGGAGAGATTGTTATCAATGGGGAGGTTAGTCCCCATTGCTATCAATATACTTTATCAGGTCGACCTCCACGCGGTTCCCTCTGGAAACTATCGTGACTTATTCATCGTTGAATTTATCACGATGGGCTAACTGACCTGCCTTTTCATCCTCGCCTATCACCTCTCACTGGTACTCTGCCAGTGTATACCGATAGTGCACACGGGGTTACCATGCCATTTTCACCCAAAAAAAAACCGTGAGGGATGATAAATGAAAATGAAAGAGCAGGACAGATAGCCCATCGTGATATAGATATCATATATACACCTGACATCGTGATATACACCTGGAGTTCAGCACGATGGTTTCCAGGGGGGACCACGTGGAGGTCGACCTGATGGAGTATATTGCTATGAATGGGACTGGTAGTCCGCATTACTTACAATATGGTAAGGATATTGTTTATAAATAAAACTGACCACGTAATAAAATATTACTTATATTCAAGCTACTTACAAATGCTCGTAGTTTATACAAAATTTCAATATGAAAAATCACATTGTATTTTATGATTCTAATTACGATTAATTGTGATTATAAATAATTTTTAAAAGAAATCGATGAGTATAATATCATAATAAATTATACACAATATGACTATTATTTTCTACCAATTTTATAAATTGATACTCGTATTATTTAAAACAAGATTAAACCACTTTGTAATAGAAGTAGTATGAGAATTTCTGATTATTTAATTCACTTTTACTGTACTAGTTATAAATGCGACTCGGTTCGCGTGACTTAGATAAAAAAAGTAGATAAGTGATACACATCATGCAGGGCCATTTCCGTAATGACTAGTTGAGCCGTTAAGGCGGCAAGAGGCAACAAATAAACAATAAAATAGTATAGGTAGTTAATTTTTATGAGTAAAAATATAATTATTTCCTCTCTAATTCCAGATGGAATAATAAGTTGTTTGCGTCGTATCTATTAAGTTCATCTGAAAATTTACTTCTTTACATAATTCACTATTTGTATTGTGACTATTGAGTTTCATTATTTCAAACACGAACACGTTATCAATATAATTACTTAATAAAATATTTCAAAAACGCTTATAAAAGTGTCAGTTTCTAATAATAACCACATCACAACTTATAAGAAAACATCTTCCTTTATATTGGGCCCATTGGTTTGCATTGGATACACTTGTTGCAAGTGCTGTACAGCATCCTGTATACCACTATTTAGATCTTGCACAGTGCCAGCTATAGCACTCAGAGCATCTGCTATTCGATCTTCCAAAATCGCTCGTCTTTCTTCTTGTGCTCTCATTACAGATGCCATTGATTTTAATGCTTCCGCCATACGTTCCTCGGCTGCTATCCTTCTCTCCTCTAAGTCTAGAGCCCATTTGGGTGGTGGTGTTGTGGGTCGAAGATCGTCATCTAAAAATAAATAGTGTTATAATTGTCTTAAAGTTTATTATCAGTTTTATTCTAAGTAATTATATTTAATAATCCAAATCCAAGCAAAACGTAACGTATATTTTTGCTGTTAATGGTTTAATTTATATATCATATTTCAATTTTTAATAAATTTTATATAATCTGTTAAATAACACTCAAGTTGATGTAATTATAATAATAGTTATTTTCTTTGAATTATTATTATAACTATTAGGGAGGGCATAGTTTATTAAATTACCAAGTAGGTCTTTGAAATAACAAATACAAAATCACAAGACAAAATCAGACTTCTTTTTTCATAAAATAAAAATTTGACCTTGGTCAGCTTCAGTTTATTTTAAATACATAGTTAAATTCATAAGAGTACTTATACTTCTTTTTGTTCTTAGCATTGATACTTTTGGGCATTCAATGTATTGATAGGCGCAAATTAATATAACACTTATTCTAAATAAAATACTAAGGTCCAAATACACACCTTTGTCAGTCTTGGTATCACTGGTTGATCTTCTTACTTTGATATTAGTCAAAGTAGATCGTGCTTTTACATTTTCTAGTGGTTCAGAATCAGAGTCTTCAGCTAAGAAATTGTCTAATTGTTTGGAAGATGGTATAGAAGCTGCCACCGAGCCTTTACCACTAAGCTCAAGTACTCTCACTTCTAAGTCATTGAGAGGCACAAACCGATTAGAACCCCCACCTGGAGCAGATTGAAATCTTCGAACATCAGCTGCTTTTCTTCTGCATTTATGACGCCATTCAAACCAATACTAAAATAGGATAACAACAATACATGAAAAATTTGTTAAAACAAATAATATAAAATTTACAAAGGCAATCATGCATAATATTCTGTAGACAAAAACTTTCAATAATAACAATTTAATATATTTTAAAAAATTGTTATGTATTTATGTTAATTATATTATTTATATGGCGGTTATTTATTTAAGCAAATCTTAAGTAGCAAGTAAAAAGTTAGCCACTGAAGTGATAAATTGCAGCAATTGGTCTTGGCAGAAAAAATCTGGAACTTGCTGTGCAATATTGTCATAAATGGAAGCCCTTTCAAAAAGTCCTATACCTCTGATGAGAAATTACAAGATTTTCATTGCAGTAACTATCAACATACCTTTTTCCATCCCTCGGGAGTCTTCAAAGCACCTTCTTGCACAGCATTGAGTTGTTTCGCTAAAGTTGCCCATTTCTGCCTAGTAGCCTGATGGCACACTGGTGTGCCTGGTGGCAAGCCTTTGGACATATCTTTATTTTCTTCAAGAAAGTCCATTAGTATCTCTAGTTGCTGCCTTACAATACGCCGAGGAGGAGCCATCTGCAATTATTCCCATTTCAGAATCATTTCTAAAATATGGAATTGATACTTTTCATCACATAAAAAATTAAATCATAATTAAAAAGGCACATAAGCACATCAGTCTTTTTACCAAAACGATCAGTTTGACAATAATATTCATAACAAACTATATTATTTTGTAGAATAAAAATTAGGAACAAAATTGTTCTCAACAAATTTCTATTTGTAGTACTTAGTAGAAATTACCTTTATTTTCTTTATATATATTCTTTGTGTTAATTTTTGAGAATTATTAGGATTATCTGTATCAATAAGGTTTACATCTAACTACTTCATTAAATCAATATTATTACATTTCTTTATTCTCTAGATAATATTATAATTGTTTAAGTATAAAAAATAGTACGTACAAGCTATATAGGAAAATTACTTACATTGCAATCTCTTGTAAATAAATTCAATATTCCCAAGAAGTTTTGTTTACAAATTTTAATCGCGCGCGATTTATTTGACACAACCAATCTCCTTCATTTATAGCACAACCACAATACAATATGTAATGGCGACTTCCATTTCCATCAAACACGTTTTGTTTAGCAAGGTGCGAATTGCTAACATTTTGGTGTTGGATAACTGAACAAAATTTATTATTTACGATTAAAAAATAATAGACCAGCTATTTCTATTATTAATGATAGGATGTAATAATATACAATACAATAATATTTTTCAGGATATAATTTAGATAAAAAATAAATTTCAGTACTTATAATAAAAAAAAAACCAAAACAGTGCCCTCTATAATGCACTAGCAGTACTACGTTTACATTTCAAAGTGACACTTTATACAATTATATAAAGATGGCATTTTTACTAGTTACAGTAAAAATTATTATACTTTTTGTTTTCCATTTATATTCATTATTGTTTTGTTTTGCAACATTCATATATCTATATGCTAAGAACATTCAATTTCGAATTCTTTGCCTATATATCGACAAGTTTGTATGGAAATTAGAGTTTCCGAAACTACTCGCTAGAGGCGCAGTTAAGTTTTGAATAAGTAAATACTAGACACATTGTCAACTTAGTTTATGACCTATAAATCGCTATGTATGTCTTAATCACATATTAATAATAGTATTGACGTTGACTTATTACGTAGACTTGACATCTAATTCTCAATTGCATCAATTCCATCAAACATATTTTTAGATTTTTTAGGAATATGGATATTATAAAAAAAATTAAAACTGTTGATAATTTTTTGTCATTATCATATTACTGGAACCAGTATAAAAAGTAAATAAAATAGTCCAGTAATTTCCAATGTTGTCATGTTGGCGTGAGGACCAAACAATGTTCAAACATGTCCCTTCCTTCTTGCGTCTTGGATATCCTCATTTTTAAACAGGCAAAATACGCAAATGACTACAAGGCCATTACTATTACACATTAATGATGTTAAATCTAGAGTGGATTCGTCACTGGAGCAAGAAAGTATTCGTGTAGGTCTATATGTTTTTTTTACTTTACATATTTGCATTTCATATTCGCGCCATTCATGCGCGGTAAGGCGTGCGCGTGACTGATGTGGACACTACTGTTTTTATTGACTTCAGTACTTAACATGATTATTTACTTACCTACCTTTTTTTACGTAAGAAATCGAAGAACAATTGCAAGAAATCATGTTTATATTAAAACCACTCAAAATTATGTCCTATTTTATTATATTGATGCAAGTTTACTGTAAACTCTAGTAAAGTATAATAAGTTGGTAGTTTATCTATTTTTGCATCTCGATAGATTATAAACCCATATTTATATACGTGACGTGTAATCACTCAAAATAAAGAGCCGCAGGAGTCCCGGGTGATCCCATACCTCTTCGAGCATTATCCATGAAAATACAATACAATAAAAGCATATAAAAACACAATAAAATTTCTCCGTGTTAAAAAAAGAGCCTCGCAATCATAAGTCAATTAATTTCTCAATTTAAATGTAAAAGAAGAACAAACACACTGCAATAGAATAATTTGAGCTGAGACCATCGAGATAGGGACACTACTAGCTGTGCTACTAAGCATAGTAGGAAAAAACCTCTTTGTCACTTCGTTTACCCAAATAGTTTTTGTCAGTTACAACTTCGATTTATATTTAAACCGTTTACAAGGAAAATGGTCCTTGAATTCAACAATGTAAAGTTGAAATTATCATATCTCTATGCATTAATGTATGAGTTTTTTGTCCGCTGCTGGATTTTCTACAGTCACGAATACCTGCGAATTTGTAGCAAGTACCGGTTCTCAGTACGTCACAGTAAAATCGTTGATTGGTACAGAGTATACCTTTTTGATTATATTGTAATTTTGAATAGGTAAGTGTCGTTTGAGAGTTAACATTTAAACTTTTCTATCGTACTTCGTAGTTACTATGAACTTGTCGGACCTATCTAAATAAATACTATATGATATGGCATATTGGCATACTTTGTCCATGCATATTTGGTTGAAAAATATTTTTTATTTTTTTATGATTAATCTATAATTATTTATTTTAAAATATTTTATGCGCGTTAGTATGTACTCAATCATAATAAATCATTTTTTTAAGGGACTATACAAAAAAAAACTGAACTCTTTTTTAAAGTTTCAATGGTAGAACATTTATTTACTTGTAAAAGAACGCTAATGATTTCGGTTTTATCCTAAATACTTCAACAGCGTTTATATTAAATAACTGCATGAGATAAAAAGTTTTAAGTAAGTTCCTATTTAATGTTTATTTTTTTTAAGTAATTCATTAGTTATCAATTTTAATTTATCCAATCGGGAAAAGTAAAAAAAATCTAAAAGTTCTATCTACAAAGTTAATTTGTGAAATCGATAATATCTTCTAAACCGATCTCAGTTAAGAAGAAGAAGCAGTACATAGACACTTATTTCAACTCTTTAATAGTAAAAAATTCCTAAAAGTATATTTGATTCAAATTAGATTAATTTAATTCCTCTTGGTCTTCCTACATTTGAACCGGCAACATAAACAAAAAGCTACAATTTTTTCATAGTTATAAACATTGTTAATCGCCTATTTTAAATAAAACAATTTGTTTTAAACATGCCAACCTTGCTATGAATACTAGTTTCCACATTTCCATTGCATGACCATAAGAATATAAGAGAACGTCGTGGTCATGCGGCTTACTGCTACGTATCCTGTAGAAATTCCAATGTTGGTGAGTACGAATCTGGCCGGAGTTAAACGGAGTTAACAGCTTCAGTATCGTTTGTGATGGCGGTTTATGGTAGAAGCTCAATTTTCAATAACAGATAATTGCCAAAACGATAAAATGCCATGACTAATGAAGTGTTACTTTATCACAACGGCATCTGAACAGTCAACAAATGTCTCTAATTGCCACATCTGGAATTATAGTCACGATTAAAAGTTAATAATTGTTGTATTTAATATGTGTAAAGTATAAAAGTGATGTCATGGTTTGGTACGGGGTAAATTAAATTTTAAAATAAGTTTTGAAAAATTTACATTTCAGTAATTTTATCATAGACTGCTGCAGGAAACAGTTGAAATAACGTTCCCTTGGGTGAGTCGACAGCGGCAGCGGTGGTGGCGCCGCGGATCGTAGCGTCGCCTCGCGCCGCCGCTCTCGTCCACCGGTTGCCGGCACGGCACAGCGCCGCTCCAGTCCACCGGAGACTCCGCACTGCGGCGGTACATTAATACGTTATCAAGTAATCCAAATTTGCCCGAAGTGTTACTTCATAGGCCGTCGTTAATTTGTGAATACGTACCGATAAATAAGTGATTTAGCGAAACAATACTAGTGTTTGTGTGTATCGCATCCCTGCAAAAAAATCGCGATCCTTGTGTTTTCTTAGAAGCTTCTCTCTACATCCCAATTTTATTGACGCCGATTTGAATTACATATTTCAAACGCAGGTAAGAACAAATACATTATTGTATTTGGAAATAAGATCAAATAAAATTAATTCATTTACAGCCAGTGTTTCAATTGACTTATTTTATTTTCTTGTATTTTGTCTACAAATTAAGAAGAATTGAATTATTGGTTACTGTTTAGTTAATATTTGAAATTTAGCAAAACAGCGTTTTTGTAAAAAATCGATACAGATCACTTGAATCTTGATCTTAAGATTTATGATTAGGATTTGCAGTATTCAAACACAAAAAATGCCTGGTTTTAATGAGTACCTAAAACAATCTCTTTACGATATCTGTAAAGGTGTGTTTGTCAAAGTGTTCTTCATTCTAAATTTAAATTCAACAAACACGGAACAAATACATGACGCAATTTCGTGAAGGTGTATTCTATTTCTGAAGGCAAAGGTAAACCTTTGTAGGTAAGGTTTGACGACAAACTAGAGGCCATATTAATAAAATGAATGTTGTGATTTTGATGAATTTTAAATTTAATAATATGTACAATATTTTTGCCTGAGAAAAAAAAATAGCTGATCAGTGTCAATGAAACCGTAGGAAGACTGGCACATTTGAACACTGGAGAGGACCTCCTAACACGTTTCTTGAAAACCGGTTTGATAGGTGCTTCATCGCAGGACTTATGCAATCGACGAATAGGTAGGTATATACCAAGGGGTTACAAATTTCATTCATGTAAATTATCATCAAGGAAATCATCAAAGCCGGTATTCTTTTATAACAACATTAATACTTACGTAGGTATATCAAAATAGAAATTACCACACAGCATAACAAGATTTATCAATAAGTTCATATAATCTTTATCTAATGTAAAACCAATATCTAAGACTTACTAAAAACATAGTACTGTTACTAAATGCAATTTTATTCATAATAATGCAAGATTATAAGAACATCTGCTCACTTCATAAATCGTGCGCTCGTGTTGTGGTCTTACATTGCAAACGACAGCTGCATATCCACGTGTCCCATCCCGACAATAAATTGATAATCTCCAATAGTCGCAAGTCTACATTGTTACCAAATTTGAAGGGAGATTTAGACGCATTGTACGTAACTACGTATGTACACGCAAGGTGTCAGTTTGTGTAGACACAGTTGTATTTACATAAAGATTGAGTTAACATTATTTCAGAATTAGTATGTAATAAAATAATAGAAATTACTAATACTTTGTAGTTGTTATGACGATTATCTCTAGCTGTTATGATCATTGCCTTTAGGGAGGTATAATCCAGAGAACTAGACTAAGATGATTTTTTTTAAATACACATCGAGCGGCGTCTTCTCTCACTTCAGTCCTATCTAACCACGACGTGGTGCAATCCACGTAGAAACATCGGCAATAAAGAAGCAGGTATGTAGATACCATTTACCTGCAAAAGCTTTTTTCATCGCGTTCAGATCCGTTTGTGTATTTAAAATATGTGTAAACAACGCGAAAGTTTAAATTAACTAAAGATGATATTTCCAATTAATTGAACATAATGTTTCTACAATTAAGTTAATTAAATTAGAAAATCGTAATAAGTACTGGGTGCTTTCTTTCGGATGATATTTTAATGATATTCATACTGTAAGCCCAATAAGCTACAAGCTGTTTTTATTATAATTCTAAATAGGATCCATAGTTTACCCGCCAAAACGTAACAAAACAAGGTCTCTTTATTTATACCTGTTTTTAAATCAGTCTAGACTTGTTCAAGAGTTTTGTTTGGATTAGGTTTGGAATAAACACATGTTGAAGGTTACAATACAAACGCGGCCAAATAGCAACAGTTCCGACTGTTGAACCCCGACACCCGACAGCCACTCGTAGCGACACCGACCATTTGGCGTCGTTGTATCGATCTGCTGCTCCACCGCCGACGTCATTAGGATATACTTCAATAAACATAACGACCAGTATTTTACGTAATTTTTTCACATGACCACACACATACATTGAGCCAGACGATAGCTTTTTTGTTATGAAAACCTAATTATTATAGCCTTTTCTAATAGTGATATTGACATTTCTTTTCATATTAGCAAATGTCCAATATAATTTGTCTAATCCGATTGATTGTTTAAGATATAAGCGCGTTTAAATAAACTTTTTCGCTTTATTATTAACCAACTTCAAGAAAAGAGAACGTTCTATGTTACTAGTATAAATTATTGGTAATGAAAAGTAAATAATTTGACCCATCTTAACTTTAATATTTATTTTACATTGCATCTATATATATATATATATATATATATATATTATATATATATATATATATATATATATATATATATATATATATATATATATATATATATATATATATATATATATATATAGTGTATAGTTACAAAAATAATAAATACAGTAAATCATCAAGATAAAAGGCGGTCTTATCATAAAAATACTCGTAAATAACACTTTGGACATCCAGAATGCACTACGTCGCTCATTATCAATCGCCATTGGATTGTAGACCAAAACAAAACACCATTGCAGTTTCATCATTACAATAGTTAATTGTGCACTGCAGAACATAGGCCGCCGCCATGGAACATTGCTGCTTCAATATAGAATAATTAAATGCCTATTCATTCTTATAGTGTTAATGAAGATAAAGAATTTTTGATTCAGCCTATTGTCTCCTTAACAAATAAAATATATTATTAGCTTTCTGCTTCAAATTCTGACGGTTTTGAATTTTGAAAATAAAATACACCCTATCTTATTCGCTAATAATGTAGCTTTCTATTAGTAAAAAGGTTTTTAAAATCGGTTGAGTATATTTTGAGTTTGTCAATTACAAACAAAAAATCTAATCTTTTCTTTTTATAATATTAGTTTAGAACATATCTATTAAAAAGGCAAGATAATAAATACCTTAAGTCGAAATCCAAGCTATAGGGACTCGTAGGAAAAGAGCTTTATTGGCTCCATCACATCAGTTCCGCTGTTAGTTGCCCATTTCCGTTTGGTCATCGTTTACTTCTTATGTATCAGCAATTTTGTATTTAAGTTCATCGAACTATGTTGCTGTGCAGCATTTACCATAAAAGTACTCTGCTCTTTAGTTGCTGTATGATATAACATTGTACTATACAGTTACAAGTGATTACATTGTATTCGTAGTTTGCACTAGCAATTACTTTCTTTCAGCGTATACTTTAAAGAATTTTATTCAATTTGTGATTGTTATTATAATTATACATTATTTTATATATTAATTTACTATTATTACCATATAAATAACTAATGACAGTTCTTACTTTATTCAAAAACTTACATTTTACCCAATGTTGATATGCAGATTATTTTGGTAAAATGTATTAAATTCATTATTAGAATATATCAACACTGTAAAGAATGTGTTTGTAATTAATTCACGAATTTTCAACCCCTATTATGAAATTCATACGCGTGTAAAGCTTTATGCAACTCAAAGTCGGCCTACTAGCTGGCAGAGACATTTCCCGAAGCAATAAGTTCGCGCGTTGTAGGCTGGAAAATTGCGCCAATTTTTGGGGCGACACCACCCCTCAAATATCATCACTTAAATAGCTACTACAAGGAAAATTCTGTAACCTACTCAATTTTCCGTCTAATGCATTACGAATTACAAAGTTGAATTACACGGAAAATTTTATTACACTGGTGGTATACCTGTATAATTTAATAAATTAAATATTATAAAAGTATTTCAGATTTGTCTACGTTATTTTAAATATGTGTTATTATATTTATATATTTAATGTATATTTATTGATGTTTATCATTATATTAAATTCTATTTTTGCGATTTAACAGACCAAATATAAGATGTATTTTCCTTATCTGAATTACTTTTATTAAACATGTGCTTTTTTAAGTTTAGGTCTAGTCAGCACTGCTAAATCTTTTGTTAAACGTTCTGAAACTTCTCTTAAAACAGTAAATATAAGACAAAGTATTCTGAAATCTTTTTCTTAGATTTTTTACTTCAATAATTCGAATAATTAAATTACTAAAAATTTATTCTTGTATTACAAAACATAAAACAAATTGGATATTTTTAAATTCACAAATGTTAATAAAGTTTCTTATAATACACATTATATTAATAAAGTACACAGTCGTAAAAAATCCAAACAACACTTGCGGTAAAAAACAATAAAATGTTTCTGTTTTTAAATTAATGTACTGGCACAGGTGGAAAATGTGAAAAGAAAATATAATAATGTCATTCTTTTTTTATAATTTATATATCCAAGACAGTACAACGTGTTTTAGTGAGGACATAAGGACTTTAGAACAATTTTATTAAACACTATGTTTTAGAATATGTTAAAGTAAATTCTTTGTAGTAATAGAAAGATTTCCTTTTGTCAAATTGTAGTTATTACGCTTGACCTGAGAGCTTGATAAATATTGTTATCTAAGGGATGACCTTGATTCACATTTTACGAGTATGCTGTGCAAATTTGACTGCACGGGTAATTTCATGTCTTATGTCATAGTGTAGCCGTGACCTCATCGTTTAGGTCTAGGTAAATATGTCGCTCTTGCAATCTCCACGGAACGAGGTCGCGTCCCTCGGGCAGGGGAAAATAGGGAAAGCTTTTTGTAATTTAGCCTTGCTCGCTACATCCGCGCGTCATAATATTATGACAGAACCGCGTCATCGCCCTTTTTAAACTTATTATGTTTGTATCTTTGTGTAAAACGTTACATTGTAAATGACAGTAAAATACATCTATATGTCGATAAAATGTATTCATGAATCATAAAATTTAGCAGGTCCTACCTTTCAGGGTCTGTAGCCTACTAAATATGACTTAAATGCTCTTAACATATGCGTTAAGAAGTGCGTGTATGAGTCCTATAGGTTTAACGCAATCTTGCGTTGAATCTTTAACCAACATTTATGGATTTCATAATGATTTATCCGCAATTGGCTATGGAGTTAATGTACCATGTCAGTACAGAAAAATGATGTTAACATAGTACA